CTGAACGGCTGATGGCTTTTTTTATGAGGAGCCTTTATTTCATGTCAGAAATACACACGGAGGTGTTGACATTCCCTGCCGAGGGTCGGCCGCAATTTGAGAATTTGACTTAATTTTTTATTTAAATTATTTTCTATAACTTTTGGATGTTGTTCGCACGGGGACTTGAACCCGAATACGCAATGCCAACCACTCGGCAACCTAACTTAAATCACTGAAATACGATTAAAGGTTAAAAAAAAAAATTTAAGTAATATGATCGAAACTAACGGTATGAGCATAAAATTTCCGATAACGATAACAATAATTCCAGTTTTATCAATAAAGTTTAAATACAAAATAAACGATTATTTTCAATTAAATAGAAATGGAATACCGAACTATCTCTCTAAAGTATGTCATGTCGTATGAGTGATTTTTATGTACGGCAGACGGAAACAAGGGAGCAAAGACTGAGCTATATGCTAGAAAAGTAGAAAGAAGAACTTGAAAAGAAAACAAAGTTCGCGAAATTTTAACTGGCCATCAGAAATGTGTGTATGTGGTCTAGCGCTGTCATAATGAAATAATAGACACAATACAGCTAAAAATGGTTGTCTTCCCCTGATTGTAGCAATTAATTTACTTCCAATCCCAACATGCACTCAGCATCACCTAGTTTGCAGTCAGTGCAGTCTTTGTGGTCGTTGTAGAGGGTCAATGCCTTTGAAGATGATTTTTTTTTTCAATTTTTATTCTTATTTTTGACACGAAAGCAGAAAGGTTTTGAATTAATATGTATACCACAGTAATATGAAAGTTATATGATGATCGGATTGGCGCCGAGAAGAGTATTTTACAGATGAAGATCTTTGCTAGCTGAGGCTGTGCGAACCATATAAAACACATTATATGCGCTTATATGCAGGCGACAATTAAAACAGAGATCTTGTAACGTATGACATCAGAAAATGTCTTTAGACGCCTGGAGGAAGTGGATAAAGAAGCAACTGCATTTATCTTGAGCTCCAGGCGACAAGGGTGATGTAATGAACGAAATAATTGATGAGATGGTCAAAAGAGCGTCATTCGTTTGAATAATGAATAAGTACATGGAATACGAAAGTCACTACAGACTCTGTGCAAAGAAATTTTCGACAGTTTAAAAAGAGGATTCAGAGTGAGATGGACTGCATTCATCTCCTGCTAGATCACTAAAAACATATTTAATGACAGCAAAGGCAAACAAACTCATATTTTAGACACAATTTTAAGCTTAAGGACAACAATTTACTGAAAACATACGCAAGCAGAATGCGCACTACTAGCAGTGAAATATCCAGAAAGTTTGTAGAGGCTGCCATGAGTGAGATATTGGAACACCTACTCTTTTTTGGTCCGGCTTTATCTGAAATACATCTAAGACGTCTAACAACTTTCATTTTCACTGTACAAGAAGATGTTTCATAACTTCGCAAAAACCATTGTCGTGTTGGACGACTGCAACATCTCGAATGAAGCTAAACCTCAAGCGAGAAATGAGCTGAGCCGGTTTTACGGAAAAAGTCAAATTGCCGCTGGTTTCTGCGGAACAACTGCCAGTAATAGCATCGGCAAAGCCGTGATAGCTTTTCATTTACTTGGCACTCTCATAAAATAGGTTGCCATGGACGGAAGATATGTAAGATGGGTAGTTGCAGCATTACTCATTGAAGAATATCCAACAAGATAGCAACACTCAGTGTTTGAATATACATATATAAAGAAAGAAAATAATCCTATCGGACTATATAATTGAATTTACTTTTTATAATTAGAACGTTTAGTTAAGAAAAACATACGAGGTGTGACAATTAAGACTGAGAGACTGATTCCATAAAAAACGTATATTTCAAAATTATTCTACAACTCTACCATCGCCTTCAAATTAGTCCCCTTGGGCAGCTATACAACGATTCCAGCGCATCTTCCATGCTTTGTAATAGTTCTGCAACGCTTCGCCTAGGATGCCCGCGAGTACCAGCGTCACGGGCACCTGGATGTCCTCAATCGACTCAAAATCGGTTCCTTTGACCGCCGATTTTGTTCTAGGGAACAAAAAAAATCACAGAGTTACATATCGGGCGAATAAGGCGGTTGTTGCAACACGGTGATCCCTTTAGATGCCAAATACTGTGACACCCTGCGGGCGGTATGGCACGGCGCGTTGTCGTGATAAAGGATTCAGTTACGACTGATGTCTGGGCGCGAGTACTTGGCGATAGTAGACTATTTGTGAACGATTCCACGGCTATCAAAAAAGGCAATGATCATCGTTTTCACCCTCGACTTGCCCATGCGAGCTTTTTTCGGGCTGGGGCGTGCGGAAACAACCATTGTGAGCTTTAGCGTTTGGTTTCCTCGTATACAAGAGCGTTATTCAAAGCATAACCCATCTGAAGCAATAACGGCTTCCCACCTTTGTGCCTACTTGTGGATTCCATCCCAGAAAAATTGCGCTTACTTGACGGCCAAGTATGAATCATGCAAATTTTTATTACTTCACACTGATGTGAAGCGTATTCCGGCGACGGCGTTCGTCGCGGATAAATGATAATCAGAAGGGGCAAGATCTCTGCTGTAAGGCGGCGGATGCAAAACTTTACAAGCCGTAACTTCCTTATAGTTTCTAACCGGCATTAGAACATAAGAACGAGCGTTATCACGCTAGAAATTTCTTCGTCTCGTAATTGGTTGGCGTTAGCAGCTCCTCATCTTTAAACTTCTTTGGCTGCCCAGGACTTGATCTTCTTCAAAGCAAAAATCACCACTTTAAACGTGCAATCCACTACAGCTGGCGGCACTCAAACTAAAAGCTGTATTAATTAGGAACAGAAAGGTGATCAATATTCGAGTTTTATCTGAGCTAATTATATCTAAGTCCTAGAATACCTTGAAGTCATAATCGATTACCTTTTAAAGCCCGTATAAAGTACGTGTTTTATAAGGTCTCAAAAATCCATGCTAGACCAACACCTAAAGCTATTAAGCTGAGTGGTAAGTTCTCTCCTGTTTAAGTTGCGCCAGTTTGGGCAGATGCTTTAAGCTTCAGTTCACTGTTCTATATCAATTGAGATCGTTGAGAGGTTTTTGTAGCTTTCGAAGTTGCTTTTGTTCCAGTTTGTCCAATCCCAGTTACCGGTGCGAAATATGATCGTAAGTCGGGGATAAGTTGTTGCCGAAGAAAGGTGTTGGTCTTTAAGTGACTGGCAAGGAGCTCATTAATTGCAACGTTGGATGGATGCAATTCCATTCAGGTCATAGTGCTTTCCGGAAATACCTTCATCGATTGGGTCATAATGATTTGGCGTCTTATCCAAGCAAGCCCAGAGTGTGCTGAGATTGCGGGACACATAATGTTTCCTTGTCCAAGATATCTATCCCACACCAACAGTGCTATCTATGAAAGCAATTGAATAAACTAGACAAATTGGCTAAGGATATGTCAGATTTGGAAAGTTATACATAAAACCATAAAACAAGCCGATATGCCAAGGCCCAACCATGAGCTTAGTGGTAGCTTGGATCAGCAACTACACACGAATCCAAAAATATGCATTGCCATTGAAAATCATCAATATCGAAGGACTATATCAAGGGAGGCGACCGCAGGTAGCCGAGTGCTTAGCATTGCGTACTGACATTCGGAAAGCTCGGGTGAATATCACGCTGCCACCAACATCCAAAAGTTATGAAAAATTTATTTAAATAAAAAATTATGTTAAATTTTCTAATTGCGGCTCCTCGTAAAAAAAACCATCAGCCGGTTTAGTATACATTGTAGGTCTAACCATTTGTTCGAAAAACATCAAGACGCAAAAACCACAAATTGGAGGAGGATCTCAGCTACAAAGCGCCAATTATGTATATATATACGAGGTGTGTTCAAAAGGTATCGCGAATTTTAAATTTTCACGGGTTACGTATAATCGAATTTCGACTGTGGCTTCCGAGAAGCTACCTTGGACCGAAGCATCGTTTATCGGTGGTACAAATGTTCTCAGAAGGCCGAGAAGATGTGCACGACGAAGAACGTGCCGGACGCCCGACCACTTCAACAACAGACGAAAAAATTAATTGCAGAGGGGTGGTACACCATGAGTTCTTGCCACAGGGTAGAACAGTCAATAGGGAATATTACGTGCAAGTTATGCGCAATTTGCGCGAAGCAATTCGCCAGAAACGCCCGGATTTGTGGAAGAACAAAAATTGATTTTTGCACTACGATAACGCCTCTGCTCACACATTGTTGCTTGTGCGCGACTTTTTGGCCAAAAACAACACACTAATGATGCCGCAGCCACCGTATTCCCCAGATCTGGCCCGCTGTGACTTTTTCCTGTTCCCTAAACTGAAGAGGCCCATGAAAGGACGACGTTACGCTACGATTGACGAGATAGAGACGACATCGAAGGAGGAGCTGAACAAGATAAAAAAAAACATGATTTTTTGAAGTTCTTCGAAGATTGGAAAAACCGTTGGCACAAGTGTATAATATCTCATGGGGATTACTTTGAAGGGGACAAAATAGATATTCATGAATAAATAAATAATTTTTGAAAAAAACACAAAATTCGCGTTATTTTTTGAACACACCTCGTATATATATATCGAGGGTAACATATCCCCGGCTGTTAAGATATGAGAATTAATATAAAAAATTTAAATTGAAAAATACCAAAAATTGTATATTATCATGAAAGGTATAGGGCTTCGGTTGGGCCGAAGACAACCTTTTTTCCTCTAGTACTGTAGAGTAGAAAGTCTTTCAATTAAAATAACTAAGACTTCATTATTCCTATTCCCATGTGACGCATTAAAATTAATAAAATTCGCATAATTTATACTATTATGAGCAAAATTTGCATTTTATTTATTTACAACCGCTCATTTTGAGTAAATGCATTAACTTGGCTTCGCATATAAAAGTAATATTTTATTATTGCAAATGAGTATAATGAGTCTTGTGTAACTAAGTTTACCTGTTTTTGTTTGCGTTTGCGAAAGGTAACCGCAGCGAAATGCGAAGATTCTTAAGGTGCGCGCCGAAATAGGTTGACTCGCTTCAGTTTATTTGTGCGTGGTGTGCGCTACCACAACTATCGCTTGCGGTTTGTATGTGCACATGCATACATACATACGTGTACATATACGTTGCAATTCAACTCACTCGAACTCAACTCGTTACGATCGTTTTTGTAGCCTTTAACCGCTTACGTGTAATTTTAATCATATTCCTTGTCACGCTTCACAGCTGAATCACCGTTACCAATTCGAATGGCACACACACACACACACATACACACACGCGTACGCACCGCAAAACAAAAACACTTCATCTAGACATAACATATATGTAGATATGTATGCATGTAATTTTGTAATGTTAGTGTGATTGTGCCCAATCGTACGAGTTGTTGACGCGAAGAAAATCCCAAAGAGGCAATGTAGCGGCTGCGGGAAGATGTGCTGCCGTGTGGTGAGTATAAGCGCGGCACGAGCGTACAAACAGCGACGTAAGCACAGGGAGCCGACCACAAGGCCGTTGTTAACGTTAAGGCCGCGTGCGTTGTTGCCCCACTAGGCGTCCGTAAGGATACAATGGCACAACACTACTCTGTAGAAGGCATGTGCACATACAATATACAATACATATTATTAGTTTGTTTGCTTAGCTTTGCTTTTCTATTCTTATCTTTGCTTTCTTTTTTTCGTTTTTTTTGCTTTGTTCCTTTTTTTTTTTGTGGAAATCTTTTGTTTTCTGCACACTTTATTTTTGTTTTAACACTTTTCTTCTCGTGTTTGATTTTGTTTTATTTTTATTTTCATATTTTATGTTTTATATTGTGGCTGAGAAAGCAGAAAGCACAAAAACCGAAAAGTTGTGGTTGTGGAAGACTGCAAAGTAAAAGAAAGCGCATTGACGCACAGTGGCTCACACACACACACGTACACACCTACACATGTATAACACAAATTATTAAACAGCCTGCACAGCAACGCGGTAGACAATACAACACACATACATATATTGTTTATACTATAAGCCCATAGAATAAACGCCTATTCGCGAGTTGAAGTAGGGATAGTTTTAAGTTTTACTGCTTATGCTACCAGCATAATACTAGTTTAATACCAGTTCATGCATAGCGCACAAATAACAATGAGCTGTGTGCGATTTTGAAAATTACGAGTATTACATTTAATTTATTGCAACTTATGGCAGTCTGTACTTGTTTTATCGCGGTATTTCTATGCTTTGGGTTTTTTTTCTCAACATTTCGTGTGTTTTCTAGTAAGTAGGCAACATTTTCTAATGAAAACCGTTAATTTCTGGTAAGTTTTGTTGTACTTTTAATATTTATTATTTCGCTCAGGAGTAATAAAATTAATATTATTTCATTACATTAATAATGTTTATCTTTATAATTTTTTATCAAAAATATTTTTCTTTTCAAAAAAAATTTTTACTCAAAAATAAAATTTTTTTCTGTTGTTTTTTTGTTCAAAATAAGAAACTATTTAATTTGAATCAGAGTTATGAGTTAAAAAAAATTGCTTTCAAATCATTTTTGTAAGATTTTTGCGTTTATTGTATTAATCACATTTAAATATTTATAAGAAGTTGAATATTTTAATTTATTATGATTTCGCTCAGGAGTAATAAAATTAATTTTATTTCATGAAATTTTTTTTAGTCCAAAAATAACGTTTATCTTTATTATGTTTTTATTAAAAATAGTTTACTTTTCAAAAAAATATTCTACTCAAAAATAAAACCTTTTTCTGTTCGTTTTTTTTTTTTGTTCCAAATTAAAAAGTAATTAAAAATGTGTAATCGCTTTAAAACAAACCTATTGTTTTTAGAATGAATGATTTATTTTAATCAAATAAACTTTTTATTTTCATTCTTTTACCTTTTTTTAGCAGAGTTTTTTTTTAGCAGAGAGAAGGTCCATCGAGAAACGAAACCAACTAAACGGTTTTCATCTCTATTGGGCATAAAAAATTATACACAGTAGAAAACTGGTACTTGCTTCAAGAACGGGTTTTCAAGCTTTCACAAGTACCAAATCAGTTTTTATTGACTTACTTTCCCCGTTGATAAATTAAGTTTTATATATTCATATCACACAACTCTCCACAAGATAATTTAAAAAAAACTAAAAAATATTTTTTTTTTTGGAAAGTGGTTTCCAATAAGCAATAATTTTTTCTTAGTTTGTCTTTTGGAAAATTTTTGCTTGATTTATACTCAATTTGATTTGCCATTTCATAATAAACAGACTTATTACGGAAGAAATTTCGAATCGCATCCAGTATTCGGTCAACATAATCGCCTAGCACAGTGTGTGATTCTTACATCCCACATTTACTCTTGTGAATAAAAAGCATTCTCAGAGATGCCGTACAGTGCGCATCGAAGACGCTTTTGCTGCTCTGTAGTATCGGAGAAAACCCGAAAAAATCCATCGGCCAACATTTGAAGCTGTGGCCATCTAAAATCAACTCTCTCAACCCACAAAGCACGTTGCATGAATCGGCTCAAAACGATATGGCCACCGATCTCGACTTTCAAAAGAAAATCTTGTTCAGTGACGAAGCCCATTTTGCTTCAATGGTTACATTAACAGGCCTATTCTGTCGAGGTAACAAAAGTTACCTTGGTATTAAAATGTACCATTCAGTACAGTTTAGAAGTTTTCTAGACAAAAAAAATAACCCTTTAATTTGTAAGATATCGTTTTCACACAGCTTTTTTTTGTTCAAAAAGTCATTATTTGGAGGGAATCATTATTTCTTGAAAAATGGAATCAGCAGCAACAAGCTGGGGAACGCTTTCGACCCATGATTAATACTTTCTCATAACTCAATTGGAGGATGTTGATATGGTTCCAACATGCCATGCAGCCAACGAGGCAATCAATTTAGTCAAGAAAGCTTCTGGTGAGAGCATAAACCTACCTTGATTTCTTTTTACACATAAAAAAAAATTATTTATTGAATCCGCCAAATTTAAGCCTAACAATAAGTTTTAAAATCTTAATAACTAATAAATTACTGCTTTAGGTCATTAATAGCAGTGGGCGTTAGGTAAAACATTGATCTTCAAAATACTCGCAGATCTCTTCTTCGAAGGCGAGTTCGATTTGCTGGGCGAGATAAAACGTTCGCTAGAGCATTCGGCTGATTGTGTATTTTCTAGGTGGCTGCCGAAGTTTGGTTGCTTGAGGGATCATAACGTTGTTTAGTTTCAGCATTGATCTGCTTATTTCAGGCTTTAGAGTGAATGTGACATACTTTTGCTCAGCCAACTTTCAAGGAGTGTGAGATCTAGTGTGATTGAGGCTTTTACTGGGCATTTGCTCCATCATAACATATTGCCTGTGATTTTCAAGTTAATACTTTTGCACACGTTGGAATGTCTGCAGTAAATAATAATGGTGCCAAAACGCTGCCTGGAGGTATACCAGCCATAATTAGGCATTCCTCTCAGATAAATTCGTTTACCTTTACTTGAAACCTTCTGTTTGTAAGGTATGATATGAGAAGCTGTTGGCAATTTTTGGGCAACGTCATTTTAATTTTATATATAAGTTCTTATCGTATGCTTGAACCACATCAAGAGATGTTACTGAGGAATACTCTTTCAATTCAAATGTCTTCCTGATCTCATTGGTAATGCGATGGACTTGTTCTGTAGTACCAGATTTTTCGCGAAAACCGAATTGATGATTTGATATAATTTCGTTGTCGTGGAGAAAAGGAGATATCTGGGATGACAGCAGCGTTGCGTCTTTTCCGGGTTTGGCTATCTTGATAATCTGTGGAAAATATTCAAGTTCAAAGATGGCATTAAAAAGTTGAGACAGGAAATTGAAAGCATTACTTGGTAGCTACGTTAACCTTTGTGGTGCTATATGGTCGTAACCAGGCATCTTTGGATATTTAACGTTTTTTGCTATGACTTTTAACTCAGATGAGATTATCCTCACATCGGAAATATGCCTAGTGCCGCAGTGAGACAGAAATGGAATCGTAAAATTATGCATTGCTACATTAGATTGGTATACTTCGCTAAGGTGATTTGCAAGTCATTTTGCCTTTTCTTCTTCTTCAGAACTGGCCCAAGTACCGGTTCTTTGTTTGAGCGTTTCTACTGGTGGCTTAAAATTCTTTTCCGCCTTCCATAGAGAATTGCTTTGAGATGAATTTGGCGTCAATTTAGAGATAAATCTCTTTAGGTGCGTCTCTTATTCACATTTAAAAGCTCTCCTCAGTTTTTCTCAGCAGCTTTTAATTTTAATTTAGATAATGGGTATCGATTACACTGCTATTATCGTCGCAGTTTACGCTTTTCGATTACGATTACTTGGCGCTTAAGTAGGTTCTTACATAGGTAAACCCGTGAAGGAGAATATACGGAGCGTTATTGCTAACATAATACCGCAAATCGGCTCTATCGACTAGAATTTCTTCGAGCTAGTCGCGCTGTCACTTGCCCGAAATCATTTTCAAGACATTATGGCGGGACCTTATTTTTATAATAAGACCTGTTGTTGTTGTTGTTGTTGTTGTTGTAGCGGTTCGCTAACCCCGCTTAGGCACAGGTTTGTTCAATCTAAATCGCCGAGGTCATCTAGTGGTAGGTCCAGGAAACGAGCTGTTTCGACGGGGTTGGACCAAAATGAGAGGGGGGTTAGATGAGTGGGTTTGAGGGGGCATGTGAAGAGGTGGTTAGTGTCGTGCGGGGACTCTCCACATGCCGGGCACACGTTAGGTATGCTGGGGTCTAGTCTGGATAGGTAGGAGTTTAGCCTGCTACAATATCCAGACCTGACTTGTGTCAGGGTCACGCGGGTCTCTCGAGGCAGCTCGAGCTCGTTGTCTCCGAGTACGCCATTCACTGGAAGGGAGTCCATGAAGGTGTTGACTGACTCCTGGTGAATGGCGTTCAGTGCTTGTCGATACGCCGTCCTGTCCAGCGGTTGTTGTGTGTGTTGCTGGATTGTGTCCTTAAAGTCTAGTACTCCCTTTCTGATGTGCCTAGGTGGGGGTTCAGCCACCTAATTCTTGGCGGTAACGAAAAAAATTGATTTCGAAATTCGAATTAGTGAGTAGTCTCTATGAACGTCATTAATATTTTTTACTGCATTCAAAAGGCACATCTAGTTCAATCCCAGTCCTTTGATACCAGTTTCGAACCAGATCCAGCTAAGCTAGCGAATCGCTGGGAATAAATAAATTTGTATGTATGTATGTGCGTATGATGTTACATAAAGCTCATAATAGTTGTATGATTGTGCAAGTTCACGCTCATTTGTATTGTGTACGTAATTCACTTGGTTTATGTACATCTGTATATATGCGGTATGTATATGTATATGTATATAAGACGTAGTCGTGATTGTATGTCTGTAAGTGTTTAAACGCTATAAAATATCGGCTGCTTCCGTCTCGACTACAAAGGAAACGCCATTTCAACCGGAAGTTAAACTGTGATTTACGTATTTACGTGTATACTTATTTGTTATTGTATTTGTGTTTGTGTGAGTGGCGCACACACGTTTGTGTTTAAAGTAGTTGGTATTCTGGGGTACGCTTCATTTTGCTATCTTAGACTTGTTCTGCTCTAGGAACAAAGTTTGTGCACCATTGACCATGACGACGCGCTTGCAGGAACAAAAGAAAAACAAAAAAAAAA